AACAAGGACCAGTGATTAACAGATAGTTGTTGCCCATACATAAGCTGAGACTGGAGATTAACTAAGTAAGCTATGACATTTTTTGAAGTTTTGTTAAAATGCGTGAAGGATTACTCTATCTGTTCTTATAGCGAAGATAATTTTCACATGCTGCTATATAATATTAGTAGAACTACAATTTAGTAAACAATCTTAGATATATTTCAAGAACAATATGAAATTCTTATTAAACATACTGACATTGTTATAACACCATTAGGTAAAGGAAGTATAGGATAATAATTCTGAATAGAATATTAACAATGTTAAACATGTACTAAATGATAGTACGAAATTTATGAAAGGAAATAAAGATCTAACAATTAAACCTGCACATATATTGTTGCAGTTGAAGAAAGATAAGATTATAACTGAGAGTGTGTACAAAGAAATTAGACCGTTTGTTCGTCTTCGTTCTGTAATAATCTATGGTGTGACTAAAGCTCATAAGTAAGGCAAGAAGTTTCTAATTTTTTTAAAGAGTATACAAATAATGAGATGACTGTTAAAGACAACTTTGAGTTTTCGGATTCTGTACTGCTTGTTTCAGATATTCGCGCAAAACTATAGAGGTCTATCTACCTGTGTTAGCCATCCTTTATTTTGAACTGATAGACTAGATGGAAGGCGGCTAGTCAACAACAACCACCGCCAGTTCTTGGGCTACTCTTGCCATATTGTATAGTTTGATTTGACCCTCACTCTTATATCTCATCCACGGATCCAAAGCGTGGAACGCGATTTTATAGGAACGGATTCTGTACACAACATTTTACCAGCATATGTATATAGTCATTTGTAATGTGCAATCTGTTTGTACTAGCATTTCCCGCCACAAGAGATCATTGGCTTGTGCTCGAAATTGTTTTACTTTATCAGACATGGCGAATGGTCTTTCTAAGTTTTCATGTTTAATAGAACAACTTATCTATCAAGTTGATTGTATTAGTATGGTATCTAAGTTTACTCCTGCTATGGCTGTTTTATTTTTCAGTTTACATGAAAAAACAATTACTGAAAAAGTGTCCTGTTGAATTCAAACCATTTTATATAAAAGATATCTTGGTGGTATATTTACTATTTTAAATCACAGAGCCATGTTGATGAATTTGTTTAATTATTCAGATAACAAACAAAAAAGTATAAAATTACAGTTGAATGTGAACAAGAGTCTAGTTTGCCATTTTTGGTTACCTTATTAATCAACAGAATAAATTTAAAGTAAGTGCATATCGTAAACAAACGTTTTTCGGAACTTTATACTCATTTTAATAATTTTGTTTCCGAGTAATTTAAAACGAATTTAGTTTCATCGTGCTTACTGTATAATAAGTAATTGTTCTGTGTTGCGTGATGAAATAAATATCATTAAACAATTTTTAAACTTGTTTGTTTGGAATTTCGCGCAAAGCTACACGAGGGCTATCTGCGCTAGCCGTCCTTAATTTAGCAGTGTAAGGCAGCTAGTCATCACCACCCACCGCCAACTCTTGGGTTACTCTTTTACCAACGAATAGTGGGATTGACCGTCACATTATAACGCCCCCACGGCTGAAGGGGCGAGTGTGTTTGGTGTGACCGGGATTCGAACCCGCGACCCTCAGATTACGAGTTGAGCGCCCTAACCACCTGGCCATGCCGGGCCTTTTTAAACTTAATGACTTTAGTAGTAATTTCACTGATAGCAATATCAATATGCATTGACTACCAATAAAGTTTGATAGTTTGGTGTGTCAGTAAAGCAATAGTAATAGTATTACCATATTTAGGTATATAAGTATATATAAAAGAAGCTAACTTAACCATTTGTCATCAATAAATTTCCATTTCTTTTTTTGTGTTGAGGAATACGTAAACTCTCTCACTAAGTGGCTGTCGAATTGTGTAAAGTTTATTTGTTTGTTGTTAACTACAGTGGCCTATCTATTCTCTATTATCAAGATTTTCGCGACATATTTGTATGAACTGCATTATCTATATCACTAGTGAGAACTTCATAATCGTTAACCCAGCTCAGAATAAAAAACAACTGAGAATTCAAGAGAGTTTCGTAATTGCAAATCCGAAACCTATATTAAACGCAGTGCCATCTAGACGGCTGTGACTAAACTAACCAAATTCGGACACACTGCTTCTCCTCAGCCCCCCTAGTGGCACAGCGGTATGTCTCCGGACTTACAACACCAGAAACCGGGTTTCAAAACCCGTGGAGGGCAGAGCACAGATAGCCCATCGTGTAGCTTTGGGCTTAACTTCAAACAAAAAAGCTTCTCCTCAAATTGTAACTTTTAAATTTAAACTATAATTTTCAAGTTAATATAAGATTACATTCAATAATTAAGTTTCAAAGTTAATAATTCGTTATGAAAATGTTGTTTAAGAAATTAATAAAATTAAATAGATTTCTTTTTGTTGTAATGAATTTAACACAATGATAATGTAAATATATTATATTGAATATGCTTGTATGCATTAACTGAGACAAAATAACTCATAACCTTTGACAAGGTCAAAGTACCCATTACGGCTCAGTATCTTTGCAAATTCTCAACACTGTGGGTTCCCTCCGACTGCTATTATACAAGGATATTGACAACGGCCCTGATCTCCCACTATCAGGCAGGCTGTAGCAGTGCCTATGTATGGATTGGCCATCAAAATGGTATTTTAAATATCTCCTCAATAGGTCATGAGAACCTTATAATACTATACAGTGTTTCATTTTATAACAATATCTATGCGAATGTCTATAAATATCATAACAAAAAGTTTGAATTTCTTGTTCTTTTTTTCTTCTGCTTCTTTGTTATTACATGATAACCAAAAAACCAACTGAGGTAGCATAGTTTCGAACGGAGTATCCACTTTTATAAATATTATTAATAACTAGAAGCAATTTTAAGAAATCATAATTCTAGTGAAAACGATATTATCATTACCCTTTGAAGTTAACTTTCTTACAGAAATTTGGTGTTCCTTTAAAAAGCTTAAGTACGGGGTGAAGTAAGAATTACCAGCCAATAATGGGTAAACAGTAAATGTTATCGTTGGAACCTCATTGTATTTAGAACTTGGTTATGAGTACAACCTTCCCATGTCTATTGAAACACCACATTAAACAAACAAGTAAACAAGTACAGAAAATATCAATATCAATCTAATATCAATCCTTCAAAAACAATGTAAACAAGATCGTACAGACAACAATTAACGTATAGTAATATATATATATATATATATAACTATTCAATCACGACTGAGTTTAATTTATCCTATTTTTGTCTGTTAACATTCTATTACACTGTGTGTCTGAGCTATGATGTAGAATGATGCAAATGCCATCCTTACTATCTTGTTTGCGTTGTTTTTGAAGAATTGATGTTAGCCATCCCTACACTTATTTCTTTTTGATTTTTTTTTAGTTTTGTTTATTGGTCTAGGACTAAAACATTGGGCGTGAGTTCGGTCGCATTCACTGAAAGTGTGTTTTCTCGGGGTTTTCTCGTTCCCCCCACACACCAAAATTTGTGGCATTGGATTTATAAATCCCTACCCGGGCCCGTTTGTTCGAGTAGTTTGTCTTATTCTCGCCGATGGATCTGACCGGCCTTGTCTTTGCCTTGTCACTCATCTTCTGGACATGACTTCTCGTCAGTCTCTCACTATCACGCACATCAATCCCAACCACGTAAAATACCCATACCCACCCACTTCACACACACACTATTGTGTCTAAATCAAATTCCCTGGTTCGGGGCGAGGGAGAATTCAATAATCTTCGAATACCCCGGATGACAAACGGTTTGCATCACATTACTGTGATATGAACGGTTTTTATCTAAATATCCACCAGGTTAGTTAGTTATAACATATATTATTTACATAACAGGAATTTTCCCCAGTGTACTTTGAGAAAGAAACGATTTTGTTAGTTTGTTTGAAAAATTGAGTTTTTATTTTATTACATTAGAAAGACAGTGTTTGTTTGTTTTTCGTTTACTGTGCAATAATTATGCAGATATCATTAGACATATGTCGTTTACAGGTACTGTCTATCTCTTCAATTTCATAAGAAAGTCGTTATTTCTCGTGGCAATCTGAAAATGAAACTTCCGTTCTCAGAAGGCACTTAATACTTTACTTGTGCTCAGTAACAAAAATAGATTTAACTATCATGGAATTATATGAATTTAAGTAAATATTATGTATGTTTTACGTTTCCATGACTATTCATTTCGATATTCAACTAAACAATTTAACCTTTTCAGAGAAAGTCATTTTCACATAGCTCCGCTGATGTTATATTTCTTATTTACGATGACACATAAATAATATGTCCTCGATGTAAAAAATTCACTTTAGACTGTTTTTTAGAAAACACCATTTAGATTTAGTATAATATGTTCAGTTTAAATCGGCTAACTGAGGCCTGGTTAGATAACAGTTTTCTCTTGCAAAACTATGTATGTGTTTAACTGCTGTTATCAACTTGCAGAATTCAGCTGTAATTTCCATCGCACTTGTGTTTTATTCAGTACAGCTGGTGTATTTCAGTAACATTGTAAAGACACACACATGCAAAGTAATGTGTTTGTGACCACGTAAAGTAGTGTGCTTTATTTAGTTTGCTGAATTACTGATAGAAAAATATGATCCAGAAGGAGTGGTAGAAAACATCTTAAATTTGACTCAGATATTAAAGTTATTAATTTTTTTATTATGATTTTAAGTAATGGGCATCAAATGTCCAATGAGTTATTTTGAAATTCCTGTGAAGTGTATCATCGTTAAATAATTTGGCGTTAAGTGTAATTTTAAATTTTGAATTGAAATTTTCAACCTGAACTACACCTCATGTGCACGTGGATTAAACGGCCAGTTCAGACTCTCCAAGGTTACAGGTACAACTGTACCTAGTTTTGAAATACTAACTAGTTATAAAGTAGACAGCCAGCAGAACAATCTACAAAAAGAGATTTGTCCAATTATTCTTTTTTATATACGAATAGTAATGGATATTGAAAACGTACCTTTTGTCTCTCCAGTTGAAAATGATTCCAACAAAAGCATCACGGGCATGTCTACGTTTACTGCAGTCATTTTTGTAATTGGAGCAATGGTTGGAAGTGGCGTTCTGGTTCTTCCACATGCAGTTGCTGACGCAGGTATGTTGATAAATATTTTTTGAAAAGGGTTAACACATCTAAATTGGCGTACTCTGTTTCTCAAACGCAAGTGTACGAATTACTTATAGATAATTAAATATAAAACGCAAGTTTGAAAACGTACGTAAGCCTTTGGTTACACAATGTTTTATACTCTATACATACAGTGCTAGTGAATATTTCATTTGTTGCTCCAAAGTTCCAAAGTTTGGATCAATAGATATGTATAAATATTTTAGTGGCATAATGTTTTGTTTGGATATTAATAAATAGGTATAATTGCTTGTGGTATGGAGGCACATCCATCTTTCTGTAGTCGAAGCTTTCTATAAACATCATTTGAAACTAGATTGTGCAACGAATCTAACGGAATGAAACTAAAAGGAAAATGAACTGCGTTCCTAAACCTTCCTAATTCAAGTTGGATTACTTTTCTTGGCGCTTACAAAACACACAAAAAAAAGGTATTTTAAATACACCATTATTTACCAACATTTCATCTTTGGGAACAATAAGACTAGTTTGCTGATTCACCAATTAGTTTGAATGATAGTTTATCATAAGAGTTGTTGTTCGTGTAGTTTATAATATAAATATAGTCACAACTACTACTGTTTTGTCGTATCCCAGTAGCCCTGATGAGCCCTCGTATCAAAGGAAAGGCCTCGAGAGGACTGGATATGATATATATATAGTGTAGTTGACATGTTGTTATAAATTCTTATTTACCTTCAGTTTAAAGTTCTTAGAATATAAATATCATACTTTTCTAGGCTGATCAAAGTTGTCATATACTTATTTTTTTTCTCCGGACTTTAGGTTGGACAGGAGTTCTCCTTATCGTTGTTTGTTGTGCTAACTCTGGTTATTGTGGGATCATTTTGGCTCGTTGTTGGATTATCCTAGAGGAGAGGTGGAAAGAATATCAAAATAAAGTCCGGATTCCTTATCCTCTCATCGGTTTCCGGGCCTGGGGGCGTTTCATGAGGTAGGTTAGGGTACTGAAGCCATAATGTCTGAAGTACGTGTAAGGGATTTGCTGTTTTAACTATTGTTTACAGTTACTAATCAAATTATAGAAATACGTTCCGGAATGTGATATATTAATTCACAATCACTAATAAAACTACGAATATATTTCATCTTTATACCAATTAGATAAATTACTAATACAAGATTCAGAAATCACAGTTATTACTCAAACTGCAAACACATAATTCTTCCCCATTAATAGCCAAACCACACAAAGACATATGTGTTCTACAAGTTACTCTACTTAACGTTTATTTTACTAGCCATCATATAAACACACAATTCAGAAGTTCTGCATTTATGCTCTACAATTATCAACCAAACTACAAACACCTGCTTTAGAAATGCTTTATTTCATTATTAATTGCCAAACCAAATACACATTATAAGGAGTTTACTATAATTAGCCTTAATTTGCTTCACAACGTTTTCTTTTCTTCGCGATAGAATAGATATACAAAACTTTCCTTCTGTTAGCCACATGTGGTGTTCAACTACCTCTGAGTGAAAATACAAAAGGTTTTGATGAGTGAACTTGCGAAATATTTGTAGTTTTATTGCAAAACTTGTTAGAAATAATAAGTTGTAAAACGGTGAAGTCATATTAAAGAAAACTAAAATAATTACAACATTGCTAATATTTGAACTATATTTTGTCGTACAAATTGTGAATAACCCCACATATCATAAACTAATTTTATAAGCAGAAGAAGAGCATATTTATATGAAGTAAAGGGTTATATGATTTAATCTGTAGATTGTGCATTTAATAATGTTAAACTTCCAATCTGCTGGACTACAATGTATCCTATACGTGTGTATAGGATAATACGTTTAATAATGTCAAACTTCCAATCTGCTGGACTATAATGTATCCTATACGTGTGTATAGGATAATACGTTTAATAATGTTAAACTTTCAATCTGCTGGACTACAATGTATCCTATACGTGTGTATAGGATAATACATTTAATAGTGCTAAACTTTCAATCTGCTGGACTACAATGTATCATATACGTGTGTATAGGATAATACGTTTAATAATCTTAAACTTTCAATCTGCTGGACTAAAATGTGTCATATAAGTGTGTATAGGATAATACGTTTAATAATGTTAAACTTTCAATCTGCTGGACTACAATGTATCCTATACTTGTGTAGAGGATAATACATTTCGGGTAGGTGATAGCTAGTTTTACCGAATATTCCAACTATCATCAAAAAAATTCCAATAAATTGTATTTCTTCGGAATTATCAGGAAATGATTCTATATTATATCGCAAATGTTATACAAGATCATTTGCTTTAGCTGCGGAATATGCTTATGTATATTTTAGAACCAAAGTTACTTATGTTTTTAATTGGTTATTTCTCCTATGTACTAAAGAGCTGCAGTATCTTTATGTTTAAATTCTACCCTATTCGGAGTCGCAACAGTATTTCTTTTGCTGGCATCTCAACTCGTCCAGTCAGTAGGAGACCAATTCAACATATCTTTTTGCTACTGGATCCTAATATTTGGGACCATCTTATGCCCTCTTATGTGGCTTGGAACACCCAATGAGTTTTGGTAAGTAAACCCAAAGGAATAGGGAGATTTATTCTCTCTCTCTCTTTAATATATATTTTCGTTTAACAAATCCGTACAAAAATTATCCAAAGTACTACACCAATTATATTTTATTGTACTTACAATAGAAGAGGATAACGATCGAGGATTCACTTCAAGATAAACTGAATTGTCACTTTATTGCAACTGCTACTAATATCGTGCTATACGACTTATTGGAGAAATAATATCCTGGACTTAGCGCATCATAGACTCCTCAAGATGGAGAAATGTGTCTTGTTCAGTTTTATATTCCACTTGTCGAAGACGGCTCCATCTGTCAATAATGCTAGAAATTTATCAAGACTTTTTAACATGACTTACAAAACTTTTCTGATACTTTACGTTTCTTGACTATCACTGACAAATTATATTGTTGATATTCAAGTCTTGACCAGTATTTAGAAATCCAGTTTTAACTGGGGTGCAGCTACATAGCTGCTGCACTTTACAAGACTGTCCAGTAATCTGTCACTAATGATTGCCATTGTTAATACTTTCATGACAGATGCCTTTGAACAGCCAATCAAAGAAACGGGTTTTATAACGAAACTGAATAAGCACTCTATTATCATACCCATTCAAAAGTCAAAGAACTTCTTGCTCTTATTCAATATCATACACACATATATACATATGATTACTTCACACTTAAGGGCTGAATTTGTCACCGAATACAACATACAACTAGTCTATTTTAAATATACAAATAAATGAAGTTTTCTAAAAATATGTTTTGGAATCCTAATAAGATGTCAAATCAATGTAATGCTACAGTTACGATTAATATGAATATATATATATATATATATAAGTAAAATATTAATATTTTAAAAGATTGTTGTTATTTGTTATTAAGCACAAAGCTACACAAAGGTCTATCTGTGCTCTACCCACCACGGGTATCGAAACTCGGTTTCTAACGGTATAAGTCCGCAGACATACCACTGTGTCGACTTTTAACAGAAACTTCTACTCCGTTTAAAATAAATATTAGAAACATCTGAACTGATATTGAATAATTTAATTTTACGTACCGAATAAAACTGCAAGTTATAAATCAACCTTTTTTATTGATATAATGCAATATATTCAGAGTACAACCTAACATTATGAATACAATAATACTTATGTATATTGTTATTATTTTAAAAGTTTAAACCCAATTTAAACGTGTGGGATATTCAAACTGATTTTAGCATATTTGTTAAATATTTATTGTTAAAAACGTCCAGTTTGCAACGGTTCCAAATTCGTAGATGTTAAAAACGAATTTATGCACAGCAACGTAGTGATTGTGACTGGCGCCAGGTGGCAAAACATAATTTGGCGCTCCCTCCCCCCACTAAGGAAAAAACCCAACTCCACCAGCTCTTTACAGTCTTAGTTTCTAACGTTTAACTGATTCAGTTGCCAGACGTATGGAAGTTATAGTTTATTCTTTATGAATTTGAATCATTAGCTAATTAAAATCTGATTTTTATAACGATATGTTGCATATTATACTCTACAATAATATAAAAATCCCCCCACAACTCTCCTGATTCGTATTATTATAGGACGAATAAACCTGAGGTAGAATAATTTGGGTCGCCAAAAATTCGTCGACAACTTAAAACATACGGCCTCAAATGACTACATTTCCTATTAACTATCAACTAATCAATCTAACACTGAAAACCAAGGAACTTCTCTAGGCAAATGCTCCACTCGCACCACCCTCTCTACGCCACTGTTTACGAATGAAACTCATGAAAGCATTACGATTTTAATATTTTCCTATTTGTAACAAGAAATATGCTGAAGTGTGTTAAGTAACAGAACCCACACAGTATACTACTAGTAGCTGAGTAGACCTATTGACGTTTTTACTTTAAAACCTGAAAGAATTGGAGTTCATAATTACACCAGGTTGTCTCAAACATAGTATTTGTTACCATCCTTCTGGGTTAATTTAAGCATTAATTCATAATTATTTATATCAAAAATAACGTTATGACATTATGATATGTTTCCTACTTTTTTTTCTGATGAAAATAATTTTTATAAGTAAAACGTCCGTTTCATTATTTTTATTAACCAGGCCAGTTGCAGTCGGAGCTCTCGGAACTACTACGTGTGCCTGTTTTCTGCTATTTGTAAATATTTTAATGGACAACCATAACGTTGAAGATGTCATCACATTTCCAACACCCACCGTAAAGTCGTTCTCTCTTTCTTTTGCGACAATTCTTTTCGCGATCAGTGGGAGTTCAACGTTACCGACCATTCAGAATGACATGAAGGACCGCTCTAAGTTTTCAATGGTCGTGGCTATTGGTTTTTTTGGTGAGTTTAATAGGTTATAAGAAAAATTTCCATCACGGACATATAACTATTTCAACTAAACATATGCAGACTCATTTTTCTATTTCACAGCATTAACTCCATTTGAAGCCTACAAGTTTTTAAAAAGGAGAAAAAATTAAAGTCAACTTTCATGTATAAAAGAAAGTCACAAAAATGTAGCTATTTTATATTATATTATATTAATATTTTATATTATATTATTATTATTATATTTTATATTTCTGAATAGAACTTACTCAAGACTGAAAAATAATAATAGTCTAGGATTTTATCTTGTGTGACCCCCAGTGAAACAGCGGTATATCTGTGGACTTACAACGCTGAAATCCGGACTTCGATACCCGTGGTGGGCAGAGCACAGATAGCCCGTTGTATAGCTTTGTGCTTAATTACAAAAACAAACAAAGTTATATTAAGTCACAATAATTTCTTATTACCGATTCTAGATGTTATAGAATAAAACTGTCGTTAGTTCTGACTTAGTTTATTCATATTTTCTGAGAATCATAAGAAAGGTTATTAAATGGCATTAAATTAAAATACACGTGGTTTCTGCAAATTAATAAATTATTTTCTAACATGCTTTCTAATACTGAATTGCAACCATCTTCATACTTACCAGGTTGCTTTAATTAAAAATAAAAACTCTCTTTCATACGTGAAAGATGGGGGGTGACGTAGTGTTACAACAGTTATAAGAACTTATAACTGAAAGCAGATAAGAATGTAATAATATGGCATATAGCACCATATATTCCATATCCAGTGCCGGCAAGGCCTTTTTCTCCCACACCACGGCTTTTCCGACCGGCTTAGATACGATAGAGTAGTGGTCGAGACTCTAACCACATCATCAATAATTTTAACAGTAACTGTTACGGTGTAAACTAAATTAACGTGTTATGATTAATAATACAAACGAATTCCGTATGAGTCGCTTAGGATTATTCATACTTTTGTGATAAAAGAGGTGTATTTAAATAATACATGACGAAAGAAAATACGACAGTAAATAAAATTCGTGTATTTTTAGAAACAATTGTTTGTTTGTTTGTTATGGATTTTGCGTAAAGCTACACGATGGCTATCTGCGCTTTCCGTCCCTAATTTAGTAGTGTAAGCCTAGAGGGAAGGCAACTAGTCATCACCATCCACCGCCAACTCTTGGGCTACTCTTTTACCAACTAATAGTAGTCACATTATGTCGCCCTCACAGCTGAAAGGGCGAGCATGTTTGGTGTGATGGAGATTCGAACCCGCGACTTGTAGATTGCGAGTCCTAACCACCTGGCCATGCCAGGTCTAGAAACAATTAAATTGTTATAACTGCATATAAACATACAATATAACTATTTATAATTTGATAAGAAATTTACCCCAAAACGTATAATACAACCTGGTTCTCACTGAAATACTGTTTAATTCTAGCAGACAACACGATATTCATTGTTTATCTCAGAGAAAAAAATTCCGATCTATTACATGCCTCTTTCATTTGTTTCTATTACAGTTTCATGTTGTTGTGATTACTTTATGCACTGAAAAAAAAACGAGTCTCGACAATATTTGTTTTTGAAATAATGACTGCAGTATTATTCTAAGCTTTTATTGGTCAATGAAATCTTGACTTCAGGCTAGAACTTATATTACAGTTTTAGATGATTTTAAGAAAGATAAAAGCCATTTAGAAAAACGATTCTAAAAAATCTTTCAAATTTCCAGATTGTTTGTTGTTTTTTGTTTTTTTTACTTAGCTTATAATCATTTTCATTTAGAGTTTTCATACCACTTTTAAAACAACTAGTCAATGCTATGTTTTTGTATACTGCTACAATAACATTTTTATTTTTCTTAATAATTACTATGTGTTCCACTAATGGCTATGTATATTAGCGTATCTACAGAACCTACTTGCTACTACTTATGTCAAGACATTTCTACACTTGTATAGCGTTGCTGGTTTTATATCTACCTGTTGCTGTTGCTGGATATGCTGTATATGGAGGACAAGTGAGAAATAACGTTATTCTATCTCTGTCTTCTGGTCCTATTAGAACAACGATTGAGATTATGTTGGCTGGACATTTCTTGTTTTGTTTTTTAATAGTCATTAACCCCACGTGTCAAGAACTAGAAGAGATGCTTTGTGTGCCACATGGTAAGCAAGGGTAAAAAAAATATTCATTTATACATATAATGTTCAGGCTGTTAGGCCAGCTCGTATTATAAATTTAATCGTATTTAAAAAAAAAACATTATCCGTTTTATGGGTTAGTGTTGAGTTTGAGAGTTTTAATTGCACTAAGTTTTCCAAAGAAGAGCCTTTGGTTCTCTGAAACAATTCTGCAAATTAAAGGTTATTTCTTGAACAATTAGTATATCTTAAACACTTAAACTTGAGGATATATGCAATATGGAATAACAAAACAAGTTCAAACATACCTACGACATATTATCGAAAGACAACTACTAATATTTATTGATAAACGATCAGAGCATTATTGAAACAAATACATGATACTTTACTTACTGCGAAAAAGGGGTTTTATAAAAATGCAATACATAAATGAAACATTATGTGTTTTTTTTTTCCTTCCATTGGTAGTGTTTAATTGGAAACGATGTTTATCGAGAACTACAGTCATGGTAGTTGTAGTGTTTGTAGCAGAAACAGTACCGCACTTTGAGAAAATCTTGAATCTGTTTGGAGGATCAACAACAACGATCCTAACTTTTGTTTTTCCACCATTGTTTTACTTGAAGCTCTCCTACCAGAAACAATCCGATTGGCCTGAAAGGTGAGATTATAGAAGGTTTTTATATGTAACAGAGGAAAATGATAAAAATAATTACAATAATTAATATGTAAAACAAATTTATTAATTTCGGCTTTCGCTTTAGTCTAAATTACTTTGTTTCCAACACAATTTAGATAGAGTGACCAGACGTTCCGGTTTTGCCAGGACAGAACAGTTTTTTGGTAAATTTTTCCAGTGTCCCGAGAAAAGTTGCCGGGACGCACAAAATGTCCCGGTTTTATGATAAAGAAACCAAACTGTCAGTCACATCGAATCAAGAATGTAATAGGCCTACTTGACTTTCTTATTGTTTTTACACATACTCTCCTGCCGCCTGCGCGTGATGATAAGGCCAGATCTGTGTTTTTAGTTAATAGTACTATAGCAGTTTGTGAATGTACGGTGGACAGTTAAACGTTAGGGGCTGTTCTCTAAGATACTTATATTATTGAAAATATTTAATCTATCGTAGTGTCAAACTGCTGAAAAGAAAGTCTGTGTTTTCAGGTACTTTGAAAGCAGACTTCGCTTTTCTTAAAGGCAAAGTGAGTTGGATAACAAAGTTGAGTGTACTATTTGCAAAGCCTTGTTTTCGATAGCACATGGTGGCCGATCGGACATTACGGATCAGGCTGCCAAGAAAAATCACAAGGAACATTTTAAAATTAGGGACAAGGGCTGGGCTATATAATTAAACAAGATACAATAGAAAATTTAACGTTATAACTGATATATCATCAGTTTACATTAACAAAACAACAATATTTACCTCAAAGTAACAGTGTCACAAAATGAATAAACAGTCAAGAAGGGGAAAGTGTCCTACTATCTATGTAGTGATTCAATGTTTTATTTTCATTCTCTTCTTTTGATTTACATATATTTCCTAATTAATGAAACGTGTGTGAATTCTAGAATTACTACATTGCTTAAGAGATTATCTAATCATATAAATATTTTTTTATAATTCATCCATTTACTGACTATTGCCAATTTGGTAATAAAACCAAAAAAACCCTCCACAAATTTCGATATTCCGATTTTGACATTCCTGGCTTATAATAAAAGTTATAGGAAATAAGAGTTATTGTCAATTAAATTAAAACATAGTTTCATGTTGTTTTTTTTAGGACCGTGCCTCTTTATCAAAAAATCTATTTCATCCTGGTTATTACGACTGGTCTGGTAGGAGGCGCAATTTCTACGTTCTCTGCAGTCCAAGACATATTTTCTGCTTTAGTTTTTTCGCCACCATGTTACATCAGTAACACTGCATAGACCGTCCCAATACTGTCAAGATACGCCATTAGAAGTGTGTTTATCTAAGAAATAAATAGATCTATGAATATATACATATATATTAACAAACTATCTAGCTGCATAGCAATTCAACATCTAAGCTTCTTTTAAAATATCAACATAGCAAAAGACTTTCAAGCACAGTTATTTGTATAGAAAGCAACATAAAATAAATGACCGCAGGAAATAACTTTTCCAGTTTAGATCACATATCTTATTTGTCCACGTTTCGACAGAACACCTTTCTTCGGTTGCACAGGAAGGCGTCTTAATTGATACTTGTATTTTAAGTGATAAAGTCATTTCTTACTTAGAATATTGATTAAACTTTTTACACAGTAGAGACTAGTGAAAATATTCAATCAATCAATCATTATTGAACATACCCAGTACAACTTCACAGCTTTTCTTGTTAATCTATACTAATCATTACACACATTCAACTTAAATAAAATATATTACCAATCTAACTAACACTGCTAACCCAATCAAACTAAACAACCAATAAAATCCATTTCCAATCCACTAACACTGTTAAACTACTAACCTCTTCAGTAATCAAACTAACCAATCAAATAAAAATCTAGCCACTTGCCCAGCGTATCTACCAATGTTCTTACCAGTGTATTTATCTATATTGCAAACTTACAAGCTTCCTCCCCATTAAACTTGCGCAAATAAGCTACAAAAAGACAAAGACATCACTAATACACTACGTGCAGCAATTGCATTTACATATTCCATATATTATGTTGTTTATTAAACCATTGAGAAGCCACTATTCCTTTTACAAGAATTACAAGATGTTCTCTAGTTAGACAACACTTCATGAAGAAGTACGTAATTACTCTTGATTTTGAGAGCATGGAATACTAAAATTTTAACTGGATTTTATTGAATAATATTAGCATGAAATTTAGATTATTAAGATATAGTCATATGAATATTTATTTTATAATACTTATACTCAAATGTATCATTGTTATCGTTAGCTAAAGTGTCTGAAAAACAACTTTGTTGTTTTACTTATGTTTAATGTAAAATTAATAAAGCTAGACTTTTCTGGGTTTTGAAAACTGTAAAATAAATATCAACAGACCTTCGTACATTCATCCAGTCATCACGTTTCATCAAAGAAAAAATATTAGTCAAAGATTTAAGGAGGTAATAATGAACCCATAGTTACGTCGTGTACTTGATCAATAAAAAAAAACGTATACCTTTTAGGCGACTTTTTCACAAGCTGTTAAAATACGAAGATCATGAAGAAAAACGTTTTAAATTTTATTATAGGGAAAACTGACTTGTTATGAGCGATTTCCATTCAGTTAATTTATTGGTCATATACTGAAGAATTGTACATTTTCCTTCTTGGATAAGTCTAAATATCTGTTGAAGTTACCTTTAACATGAATTAAGATATTAGTTTCTAGTTAATGACTATTTTTCTAATATTCATTAATTACCGTTTAATTTTTACCTTGCATTTCGGCTTCTAATCTGTTTTTGTTTGCAAGGGGTCCTGATGGGGACTTACTCCATATGGTAGCTGGATTCAAAATACGAACCTGGATTTTCTGGTTTGAAGACATATGTGTTATTTATTCATTCAGACTCTTATCTCATTGAGAGTTTATTCACCTAACTATATGGATCTTTTTTCAAAGAGATATCCAGGTTTTTAGTGTCTTCTGTGTTGGCTTAATGTGTTAAAAGCTAGTTGGATATAGACGGCTTTTACTCTTTTTTTTTATCTGTATGTGTGTGGTTCATTTTCCATTGTTTTAATGTTTAGTTGTATATCTATCATACTCCTGAACTTTGAATATTGTTGTTTTTTCAGTGTTTCCAATGTGTTGGATTTCACATTTATGTGGGGTGTTGTATTCCCTCTTCTGGATCTTTAGGTGTTTGGTGCGTGCTGATTGAGATCGTATTGTACTGTGACTTCTGACTTCTGATAACTCTTTTGATTTTATGCTGTTTGCAAATCCTATGATTTCCTGAGAGGTATTTGACAAAGAGGAATATCGTTGTATGTCCGTCATTTCTTTCTGCTTATTCTCTATATTTTATTCTGTATCAAATGTTCAGTATACCCGGCATTGTCAATAAGGATTGATCATGGTATCATGTTTGTCTTAATTTTTCTTAGTATCTTTTGTCTTGCAATCTTTGTTTATCCTAGAGACTAGACATTCTGTGAGGCCCGTCTCTATGCTTTCATAATGGCTTGATACATACTCAATACCTTTACCAATAACTAATTAATAATTAAAACTTAGGTACTCGCAGAGGTTATTGACCATGACAATAACTGATATCCAATCGCAACAATCTTACCGAAAGTAGCTTTGGAGAGTAGAATAGAAAAGTTAATTGTGGAATATTTTACGCTTTCAATACAAATTGGACATTCTAATATTTGGTTGGAGTACTTTCCGTTAGAAGAATAACTTGAGGGATGATGTTATGTTCAATGGTAACTCATTTGTCAAGACGTATATTCTATAAATGGTTCATATAAGACGACAGAAATTTGCAATGGTGAATGTGACGCTGAAGTTGATTCCAAAAATGCTCATTCGGCTTGAGATTCTAGAATTGTGTTATGGAAATAAAGAAAGACCAGCACCACTTTGAACCAATTTCAGACACTGCGAGTGGTGTACTGGATCTTAGAAAATTCCCTGTTCATTAAAGTAAAGATACAATACCGTATCATCAACAAATTTTCAGGCACAATGTGAATGCTTTTAATGTTCTAAAAAACTCAAGTGCTCAGTCTCTGCTACAACAGTATCATAATTTCTTCATCAGCTTTTACTATCAGTGTAGTACAGGAATATAACATAAGTTTCTTTTTCTTCCAACAACTGGCTGCAGACAGAGAAATGCCGTAGGAGTTTAAACGTTATGGATTTAAGCACTCAACTCCTAACCTCTAATTAATTTTTCGTGGCTACTAATTAGTTCGACATCTGCGTTTGGATCATGTGTGATAGATGTAATATCCCCAACGCTTTTGGGAGCTATGACCATATACATTTTCCATTATAATTTAATGATAATAACAAGGACTGGCAATGGACAAATTATTTTGTGTTTTTTTTTTAAGTTTTATTGTGAACGTTTTGGCTTTGGTTTGAATATACATATACAACTTACTTCAATCTCAATTGTGTTTCACTACACTTTCCTTCTTTGATCCTTTTTTGTTCATTTATTCTTTAAAAAAAAATAAAGTGAAGCCTTCTATTATATATTATTACGTTGTTGTTGTTAAGAACTACATAACCACCATCTTTATCATCATTATTATTATTATAGTGTGGTTTATTTCTATTGGTCGGTTTCATTCGAGTCGCACGACCATAAAAAAAATAGACAGGTTCTATTTTAGTGAAGCGAAAATTTCTCAAAGCGAGGTCGTTCGCTGCTGGTGTGAATACTCCTATATGCTTGCAGTACTTATCAATTATTCGATCTTCTCCATGTTTAATCCATTGAGTGCGGCTGGTCTAAACACGCGCAAAATTTTTGCAAGCCGTACACCGTGTACGGCAAACACGCATTCAACTGCCGAAGGCGGACCGTATACGATACGGTGAATTACCAGTCAATGGGTTAAGCGCCAAACGCTGGCGAAATATTTTAAGTGTGAAATGGCTAATATAGAAGTGATATTTTCAACAAACTATAATTAAGATAAGTTTATTGTTATGTATATATATATACAATTTACTTAAAAATAAATTGTGTTTCTGTACAAATTCCTTCTTTGATCCTTTTTGCTTATTAATTTTTTAAAGAATTTTAAAGTGCATTATTATTAGTAGTAGTACGTTGTCAAGCACAACATAATTACCATCTTTATCATTATTATTATAGTTCGGGTTATTTCGCTTGGTCGATTTTCTTCGAGTTGTCCCTCCTGTGGACAGCGGTAAATCTACGGACTTACAAACTTAAATCCGGATTTCGATTCCCCGCGGTGGACACCTAATGGGGCTTTGCTCTAAAACAAACAAACACAGGATCCTTCGAATCGTGCGACGAGAAAAAACAAACAAAACAGGTTCTATTTTAATGAAGCGAAAATTTCTTAAAGGGACGTCTCTCCTGCTTGCAGTATTTCTAAGTTATTCGCTCACCTCCATATATGAAATAG